AAGCAACCATGAAAGACAACGATTTACTACATAAAATAGCTAAGCAAAGAACAAAGAGAGCTGCGAATCATTACCCTGCTGCAGGCTGACATCCCAAGCATGAAGATAAATACGAATAATTCAGCACCCTTCTCTCTGATTCTATTTGATTTCTTAATCCCTTCCTCCTATTTGTCTTCTCTTCTCTCCTCTCTCTCTCTCTCAACATATATATATACAAACACAACCACATGAGCAGCAAAGCATGCATTGCATGCTAGCTTGTGTTCGAAAACAATGGAGTTGATCTCCTATTTATAGGCTACTAAACGGAAACTACAAAGCCCCTTATTGGTTGAAGTTGGCGGCTAACCACAGCTGTTAAGCTAGCTGTAGGCACTGAGGAGAAAGAAGATAGCAACTAATTCAGGTGAGTACACGTGGTCTTAAGTCATAGACCGCAAGAAGAGATGGCAATCTCATTCAAAATATTTGTGTTGGCTTCTAAGTGGCCAGGTGGGTCAGTCAAATCAAACTAATTATATATACATACATATAGATGCATACGTACATGTACATATAAATACATGCATATAAATACATACGTATATGTACATATGTATACACATTAAATACGGGATCTTACAATTGCCCATTTGCTTTTCTTTGGCTTTTAAAAAAAATAGGAACATGCATCCGTCGACAAAAGCAAAAGTATAATCTTTCTCTTTTAGCTTTTGCTTTTACTTTGCAAAGTGCAGATGGCACTCAAGTTCTCTGTTTCCCCATGCACCTTTGTTGCTTCTGTGGATGCTAGCTAAGCCTGAGTGCTGCTCAAGGCTTTCATCTGAATGTGGTTGTGGTCGGAGGAGGGGATCTGATAAAGGAACCGGAGAAAGAGACGACAGAGGGAAGGGCACCGTTTTTTAAGGCCTTCTGCGGGTAAGGATAAGCAGCCTTGCGCTTTGGCCACGGTGAGCTTGCGGAAGAGAATTTCGACCTGCTGTTATTGCTGAGCCATTTGCATGGAGGACACTGTGCCTTCATACGCCAATGTCGACAGGCCCTGTCTTTGTTTATGTTTAGGGTTGGCTGTGCAAATCACGAAAACACGCCCGCGATGCTTAACTGTCTTACAAAACTCACACATCTTCTTCACATATGAACGCACCTTCATGGCTACTAATGAAAACACAAAAACAAAAATTTAACAACCCATCAAATTCAGCAGCCATCCAATCCAGCTGGAGACGAATAACTCGAAACAGATAATGGTTGCCAAACTGCGAATTGAAAAAGCTGGTGGCTGATGGTGGCGTTTGGCTGGTAAAGACCAACCACATACTTGTTAGTTTCGAACCCCTCGCGGAGGGCATCAGCATCTGGGTAGAAGAAGAGGTGGTGAACGGCCCAGTTGAGAGTGTCTCTGAGGGCTCGCCTGTAGAGGATCCGAACCTTCTCCATCTGAGCGGCTCGACAAGCTACGTACGTTGCTGTTGACACTCCGCTCATCGATCAAGGCAGAGAGACAAGACAGAGAGATGAGAGATTTGATTCCCTGAATCTGCCTTGCTAGATTTGCAAGAACCAGTGCCTTTCTTGCCGGAGATGGAGTCGTCGAAAGAGATCAGGTGGTGCTTGTAGATGCGGTTGGTGGGTTCCGGGATCCGTACCTGGGAGAGATTAGATCGGAGCAGGTCCATGGGGTCGAGCATCGCTCTCTGTGCAGAAAGAAAGGGTTTTGAAATTGGACAGGCAAGACGAGAGAGGTGGACTTTTCTGTATGCTTTTGCTTTTTGAATACAAAAGCAACAGGCAATACGTTTTGAAATTTCTCTGGTCTTCCTCGTCTTGTCTCGACTCTACTGGAGTGATGAGAGAGAGTGAGAGAGTTTGTCTGTGTCTCGGTGGGTTTTTGCAGATTTTGCGAATTTTGCAGATTTTGCAGAGGTTGAAAAAGACAGGGATTTGAGGATAGAGAAAAAGAGAGTCTAGAGAGAGAAAGACAAAGATTGGAAGAGCCAGAGAATGAGTCTTCCTCTCTGCATTTTTGAGAGATGGGTTTTTGCAGTGACTTTGGTTCCTAGGTTTCTACAGATTCACGGCGGAGGAGAAAAATTGAGAGAGAACCGACTTAACTTTTCGTGTCGTTTCCCACAGACGGCGCCAAATGTTGATGCACAAAATCGGAGGTCTTGGAACAACGTAAATCCGACTATGGATCTGCAAGAAAGTAAATAACACAGGATGTATCGTGGTTCACCCCAAGGTTTGGGCTACGTCCACACTGATATTGTATTTCTCTATTTGTGAGGGAGAGAGATGGAGAGAGCTTCTGAGAGTCAGATAGCCCTTCCATGGCCTAAGAAATTGGCCTCTCCTAATTGTGAAGGTGAGGGGTCCTTTTATAGAATAAGGACTCCTCACTTATTACATATTTGCCCATTCCTTTATTATATAATTACATTTAAGTTACCCGAGTATTTATACGAGATCTTAATACGGAGGCCCTAAATATCCCTTTGACTTAATCCTTCGACTTGAAACATGAAAACATCAATAGGCTGACAATTGTAGAGAATATGATCGAATGCTAATGTTGAATTGTTGTTTTTGTTTCATTTTTTCAGGCCTCATACGACAACCAAACTATAGAAGAGAATGTCAATGATGTTGGATTTACATCTCCCTCCCTGTCTTTTTCGTTTTCTTTCTCTCCCAAGCTTGTTATTCTTTGATCATTTTTGTTCCAGTTTATGTGAGGAATAGACACCAAGAATTTTAAGTTAGGGATCAATAATGAGAAAATGGTGGAGACACAAAATTCTAAGTGATATTGCAACTTCTTATTTGACGTGAATAAATAAGATTCAGAATGTGTCACATCCTGGTTCGGGCCCCCACCATATCCGGGCTCTACTCCGTCATAGCACGATGTTGTTCGCTTTGGGCCCCGACCATGCCATTATGGTTTTGTTTATGGGAACTCACACGAGAACTTCCCAGTGGGTCACCCATCATGGGATTGCTCTCGCGCGAACTCGCTTAACTTCGGAGTTCCGATGGAACCCGAAGCCAATGAGCTCCCAAAAGACCTCATGCTAGGTAAAGATGGAAATATACATATAAAGCTTACAGAATCATCATCCTTGGATGATGTAGGATCTTACAGAATGTGCCCAAATATGAATAAATGAAAAACTATTATATCATTAGCAAAAAAAAAAAAAAAAAACACGATTATATAAGTTTGAATCTCTTTGTTTAGTACTGTCGTTTGGGGAGGGGGATTTCTTCAATTAGATGGGGAAGTTGAGCATCACACGACTTGGGCACTATATCAATATGAATCTTATAAATTGGGATAAGAAGTTTGGCACTGGTACTAGTATTTAAAGAGGAAAAGAAAGATGATGCATTGTGAATGTTATAAGCTTATAACCACCATTAAGACAAAAAATTGTGGACTAGAAGCCACAAGGCATCAAGAACTCACAACCTATACACAATGGGGAGTTTATTGTGCAAGGAAATTCGATAAAAATAAGAGTTCACATGTTTCGAGCTAAACTATCGCCTAGCTTACAACTCGGCCAACTCTTGAGCAACCGGACATGAAACCTTTGTCAATTAAACTTGGGACGTCAGGTTTTAACTGTCACGGTATTGAATGGTGTTTGGGACATTAGCTATGAAGTACGTAGTCACGTTAACAAGTCACAACATGACCATGGACTACCTAGCCACTCCATCTAGGCCGTTTGAGACCGTCCGAGACATTTCCTATTTCAGTTGAAATGGAACTTGACATGTTTTGGTATGGACATTGTGTACATTTGGCATATTTGCGGTGCTATCAGTACATGTCATAAGAAGGTTTGAGTGCATTGTGACATGTCATTGACAAGGTGCATAGGCAGTCATATATAGCCTCGTCTATTGTCGACATAAAGCGAAGCTTGGATGCTTTTTGACATGTCATAATGCAGCGCATGAGCCGTACTAATATGGTTTGATGTCAACATGTCTTCTTTTCATACCTTAGGGCAATGGTAGAAGCATCGAATATGATCAACTCTTCACAGGGCAAACAAAGAAGGAAATTGGAGGAGGGGAACAATCTCCTCTAATTTCTCTCTTTCTTGTTTGAAAAAAAATTGTTCTCTAAGTTTGTTTAATCATATATTTAAGTTAGAGTTAAATAATTTTTAAAGGCAGTTGGACTCTATCTCCCAGAAGAATTTCACTACAAATCAGAGTGCAGAATCTAATACAGTAAAGGAATCAACTTTTGGCTACACCACTCAACTTAGGATTCCTATATATCGTGGACCTTATAAACGTGGTACAAGTGTTGAGCATTTGTGGAACAAAAAATAATTCTAAAAATTCTGAAGCTAACATGTAAATTTTTGTTTGTAATTGACAAGAATGCCTTTATTCAATTGGTGAGGCCCGCATTCCCTCTACACACATCAACCATCAAGAAAACTTGAGTTGCTGACTACAACTTCTTCAAGTTTTTCTGCTCAAGGCAAGGAGACAAGGCAATGAAATCAAATGTACTAACTAATTTCTATCTTTAAACTTTTTTATCATTTGAAATCTTATTCCTTTAAACAAAAAAAACCTTAATAACATGCTACCAAAAGCCTAATAACATCATACCAAAGATCCTTCAAAACAATTCTTAAAAATCATGTCACTTAGTAATACGGTCGAGTGATATTACTATTCACTTGTAAATGAGAGCTCTTAGGTTCGATTCTCGCCAAATGCGAGTTTGAACCATATCATTATTAGCTCATTGTGAAGCCAAACACACCCCATTTCCTAGTGAAGATAATATCGTTTGTTCAAAAAAAATCTTAAAATATTATAATATTAATTTTGATACCAACATGATAATTCTATGAAGGATTGTCCAACATAAATAAAGAAGAAAGTGATATTTTTACATCTATTTTTCTTTTCACATGCCTTTGTTAATTTTTTTTGTTATTAAATTTCTTTAATTTGTTGACAGACAAAATTGAAAGGGGGTGTGAGAAAGTGAAAATGGGTGTGGATATGACCTATCCAAGATAGTGCGTTTCTGGGGAATTCTAGGATTATTTTGGGCTCCCTCGCCTACGCACCACTGTCCAGACCTCTCTCCCTCTCTCCCTCCAGTTCTCGACAGCTCCGTGAAGACCAAGGTTAACCCTAAGCCGAGGGAGGACGACGACGAGCTCGAATAAGGAGAGATAGTCGCCGATCTACACCTTCCCTACCCGCGAGGAGTTCTGGAGGTTAATTCCTTTCGTTTCCTCTATTTTTTTGGATTTAATTTTGTTTGGTTGGTAGGAGAACTAAGAAATGATTGAATTTTTTGCGTTTGTTATGTGCTTGCTGTAGTTTGTGATAAAACAAATTTGGCAATTTTTGGTAAAGGAAATAGATATTGATTTCGTACCAACTGCAAACATAGAAATTGGAAACTATGGATTGTCGTTAAAGTTCGATATTTTGGTCTCTATTGTTTTCCTACATTTTCTTAGTGACTGCAATATTTCCCTATATCTTCTGTAATTCTATTTGTAATGAATGTTTTGGGGTGTTTGTGTCGATTTCGGTTACTTGCGTCTCTTATGTAGGCTGTAGCCACCTTGATTGATTTAGCAATGAGGAATGCTGCCAGGATTAGTGAGATTTCCAAGTAGTTAGCCTTGAAAATATTGTGTTCAATCTGGCGTGGCATTTGTTTCTTAATTTCCTGTTGTCCTATTAGTCTTTTCGTGTTACTGGGATTTTAGAGGTTCCCCAATTATTCCTGATTATTAGGAGTCATATTTCATTGGGTTCCCTCCAAGTTGATTAGGAGAATTGAATGTGTCTATTTCTACATACACGTGTTAATTTAACACCCAACATTAAATAATTACTAGAAGGGGTTTCCTTAGATCTTTGGGATGCTTTGATATGTATCAATGTGGATGTTTGCGGTCCAAATAATGTTATTTAAGCAAGCATGGTAGTATTTCTGTTATGGAATTTGGCTGTGAATGAATAGAATTGGTTGGTGGGTATTGGTATGAGTACGTTTCCTTCACCTCTCTCTCTCTAGAATTTCTGTTTCCTTTGGTTAATTTATTGGAAGATATTAGAACACATCGAATTGCAGGAAATTTCCAAAAGTCTTATCATTTTTCTTAATTTATTTTCAATCTTCAAAAATTAAATTTGTTGGTCCTAATTTGTTAATGTATTCCCATTATTTGATGGGAATTGTTATTAGTAGGGGTGCAACTCAGGCAAGTTGGATGGGTTGGAAGGTCAACCCAATCCTAACCCAACTTTTACAATTCGGGCTCGGGTTTGGGTTGGGTTTCATTCGGGTTCATTTGGGCTCGCGTTTAATTGGGTTAGGGTTTACTTGGGTTGGGTTTGGGTTGCCCAACTTTTTCAAGTTTAATCTTGTAACAACGTTTCCAAGAATTCCTAAAAAAATTAAGCCAAGTAGCATCAAAGCTAGCTTACTCTAATTTCATATATCAGTCTACTATAAAGCTTTAGGATTTAGAGACTATGAACATGAGCTAACTAATCAAAGCCTCTTATTCCCTAAAAGCTTAAGTAATTGTAAAGGGTAATTTATTAAAAAAATATTAGAAAGGGCGCTGGTTTTTGGACTTGGCACACTTGGGTGTAGTATGAGCATTAATTGATATGGGTTACAATCTGGTTAAATTGGGTTTGGTTAGTCAGGTTAGGTTGGGTTAGGGATGGACGGGCAAATGATCAACCCAACTCAACCCAATCAATGAACGGGTTAAAATTGGGTTGGGTTCGGGTGGATTATAACTAAAGAAGAACCCGCTTGTTCAAGTTTAAAGTCGGGTTGGACATGAACGGGTTTGGATTGGCCCAACCCAAGTTGCACCCCTAGTTATTAGCACTCCAAAAATCTCATTTTGCAGTCCAAATTTCCTATAGTTAGAAAGAATAAAGACACTTATAGGGGTGTAGAATGAGATTTTTGGAGTGTTAATAACAGTTCCCTATTTGATTAGTTAAATGATGTTTGATTTCACTAACTTTAGATTTCAAATGATCCAGGTGACTTGAATTTTTCAATCGGGTTCCCAAAAACATGGCCATAAAATTACAAAAATGTGGGGAAAGATTAGGTTTTGGGTTGATGAAATTGACCCGGAATTACTGTTCAACAGAACCCACTAGGCAATTTTCCGACCCAACAAAAAGAATTTTCAAAATCATGATGTCCTGCCCAACACTTGCTCTTGATACCGCCCTTGACCAAACCGGGATCCGAATTTCACCCGAAATGGTAGAGGAAGTTCTCATGAGATTCAACAATGCTGGTATGGTTGCATACCGGTTCTTTGAGTGGGCGGCAAAGCAGCGAAATTATTCGCATAGTGTTAAGGCCTACCATGCTATGATTGAATCTTTGGCCAAGATCAGGCAGTACCAGATCATGTGGGAGCTTGTGAACTCGATGAGGGCGAAGAGGATTCAGAATATGGAGACGTTTGGAATCATTATGAGGAAGTATGCCAGGGCACAGAAGGTTGAGGAAGCGCTTTATACATTTAATGTTATGGAGAAGTATGATTGTGCTCCGAATTTAGCGGCGTTCAATGGCCTGCTGAGTGCTCTGTGTAAGTCCAAGAATGTGAGGAAGGCTCAGGAGGTTTTTGATAAAGTGAAGGATCGGTTTGAGCCAGACTCAAAGACCTATAGTATATTGATTGGCGGGTGGGGGAAGGATCCGAATTTGCCTAAAGCGAGGGAGGTGTTCAGAGAAATGATTGATGCGGGTTGCAATCCTGATATAGTGACTTATGGTATCATGGTTGATGTTCTTTGTAAGGCAGGGAGGGTGGATGAAGCCGTTGATATTGTTCGGGGCATGGATGATAGTGGTTGTATGCCGACGTCCTTTATTTATAGTGTTTTGGTGCATACATATGGGGTTGAAAACAGGATTGAAGATGCTGTTGCTGCATTCTTGGAGATGGAAAGGAATGGAATAAGGGCTGATGTGGTTGTGTACAATGCCTTGATCGGCGCTTTTTGTAAGGCTAACAAGTTCAAGAACGTCTATAGGGTCTTAAACTATATGAATTCCAAAGGCGTTACTCCCAATTCGAGGACTTGCAATATCATTTTAAATAGTTTGATTGACCGTGAAGAGACTGAGGAGGCATTTAGCGTCTTCCGCAAAATGATCAAAGTATGTGAGCCAGATGCAGATACGTATACAATGATGATAAAGATGTTTTGTGAGAGAGATGAGTTGAAGATGGCCTATAAAGTCTGGAAGTACATGAAGTTGAAGCAGTTTGTCCCGAGCATGCACACGTATTCAGTCCTTATAAATGGATTTTGTGAGAAGGGAAATGCTTCAAAGGCTTGTGTCTTACTGGAAGAGATGATAGAGAAGGGGATTCGACCAGCAGGTGTGACTTTTGGGAGATTAAGGCAGTTGCTGATAAAAGAAGGAAGAGAAGATGTGCTCAAATTTTTAAACGAAAAAGTTAATCTTCTTGTCAAGGAGCCTTTATTCGATTGAAGACTCAACACTATCAACTAAGAAAACTTGGACTGTTTGGTATTCTTAGTCCAACAGAACGAGTCCTGGAGTTCTAGTGCTATTGGTACTGCATGCTAATTAGAGAAAGAAAAATCAACTTTTGCAGGTGAGGTTCTTTCTCATTTTACTTTTACACCAAAGTGTTGGTGAATTTTCATGTTGCAAATGTTTGTTGTTTGTTGTTGAGAAACTATGGTTTTAGGGTTTCACGCAATTTCACAATTGTAAGATAATTAAAACATCGTTACAGGCAACACATGCTTGTCTGGAAAATTTTAGTTGACAACATGCAAACAGTAAAACTACAAGAATTTGTACCGTCCACACACCTGTTGTTAATTTCTGTCATTTGATCCTTCAACAATTCATTTGATTTGATTGCCGGAAATTGAGAGGGATGTGTTAGAGGTAAAAAGGGGTGTGTGGATGGCACCACCCTTTATATATATGGAACACTAGCGTATGTAATTCGGCAAATAAACAGTGATGCACTGAAAACAGATGATTTCAAGCTCGATTGTTTGTTTCTAAACGAGTCAGATAAAAGACTAACCATATTCTCGATAAGTCTATGTTCAGTTTCTGTGGATTGTAATTAGGAGCCTTTTCAATCATTTTTGCTATACTAGTCGTCAAATACTTACCATATTCTCGTTAAGTCTATGTTCAGTTTCTGTGGATTGTAATTAGGAGCCCTTTCTATCGTTTTTGCTGGACTAGTCGTCGACATCATCAACACAACCATCCTCTCTCTCTCTCTCTCTCTCTCTCTCTCTCTCTCTCTCTCTCTCTCTCTCTCTCTGGCTTGTATGGTTGAAGATGTGAAGAGGTTCGTAGTGATAAACCACAGCTAACTGGCAATGATCAGATATAGCTATGAGATATGAACACTCATCAAGAAGTGTTTTATTATTTTTGTTTCCCCAAGATATGCTTGTTGAGTTTTAAATTATTTCTGTTTCTTTAGTTATTTCTATAGATATCTTTTCTCTGAGAAATTTTTATGGAATTTTTCGTTGTTTTTGTTCGTTAGTGATTGCTAATAATGTTTTTTTTTTTTCAATTTATCTTTCTCTCACACGCACATATACATGTGTATATATGATGTATATGCATTTACTTGTTACATTCACCATCTAATGTTCAGATATGCAACCAAATAGAATTTGACCCTAAATGTGATTCAAATTTGCACAATCAGTTCGAGCCTTGCATATTCATTTGGGTCTCAGCTTTCGTTACTTTCATTGTTATGATATTTATTTTCGACTGATTGGCTATCCTACTTTATTTCTTAAATGTTTTTTCATAAACACCTCTATTTTTCTTTACTGGGTGTTCGGCATTTGATGTCAAATTGGTCTGATGATGGTATAGTATGTATTTGTGGCTAGTTGTTTACAGTGCCATAGTTCTGAGTGTAATATTTTTTTTTCATTTGCAGTGGATGTGTGGAGTTCATTGATACGCGGTTGTGAGGAGTAATGATTTAAGCACGGAGCTCTGAGATGTTGATGGAAATGCATTCTTGAAGCTATATATCACCACGGCTGTAATCCCTTTGCATTAGATTTCATACAATTATATTGTGCTTCAGGTACATTTCATGTTTTTATTATCTTTATTGATTGAAATAATCTTCGTCATAATGCAAATGTGTAGTCAAATTATTTTTCAAGATGTGAGCATCTGAGACTTTGAATTAGCGATGGTGTGCTAATGATGAGATCTGCTCTGTCTTTTGTGTGTGCTTCTTTCTTAGATTTTTCTTTTACTGGGATTTACCATGTTTTCTAATCTAGCTTATTTGCCTAATGATGGAAAACTCATTTTTGTAGTGGTTCAGTGGATTATTGTTAGATGTTTTACCCATATAATGGTACAATCCATTCCTCTCTAAGGTGCCCTTGCAATGCTATTTCAACAATTATTGTGAGACCTCAGTCAACTGAAAATAGTTTTGTTGTCAGTGATGTGGTTATCCTTACAATGACAATCTCAGAGTATTTGCGGGTTTGTTTTTCTTTTTACTTGGTTTGTGCAACAAGTGGGAAATTATTAAGTGGTTCTTCTTGCATATATGCCGTAGTACAGCCTTACGCATTTTGCCCAATGATGCAGACTTATGTTCTTGGGCATTCTTTGATTTTCATTATGAGCATCTTCACTTCCTATAATTCTACCGTTAAGAGTAGCCATCTACTGTTTATGGTGGTGGCGTTTGTTGTTGCTGCTGCTGCTGCTGCTGTCGTCATTCAGGATGTGCCTGTAAATGAAAATGAAAGCTCAGCATTCTTGAACTTGGATTCAGGATATAATAAGATCCGAGGGCTATTTTTTGTTTACATTTACTACCCAAGCGGTGTTGTGTAAATGACTGTTTATTAGTTTTCATGCTTGAGGTATGTTGCCAAATGGTGCATCTCTTTCTTATCAGTATTCATATATATAAACAAATATTTTGTCTACCTTTAATTTTCCTTCGGCCTTAATATTGATAGGGGCGCAAGGGAAAGGTTGCTCCTTTGTGACCAAAGGTCACAGGTCGTGGAAACAACCTCTTTGTATCGTAAGGCTAATCCTGCGTACGACAGACGTTTTCGCAAAGCAGGGAGGCTTGTTTGCTTGGGTATGATTTGTGAGAGTAATCAATATATTTATTTATTTTTGGGATAGAAAGTAATCAGTAATGTTGTGCTTTATCTCATTGTTTGCTTCTTTTGTATAATGCGATAATTTCTCTACCTGCTGCGCGTGTGGTTGTGGTCTGAGGGCTCAAAACATCAATTATGTTTTGTTCTGGTTGACTGTATCGTATGAGTGATTGCCTCGTTCGTTTGTTGTTTTGAGACGAAAATTCACCAATACTTTGACGAAAAGTAAAGAAGCTCACCCGCAAAAGTTGATTATCCTTTCTCTAATTAGCAAGCAGTACCAATGGCACTAGAACTCAACAAACTGCTTCAACTTCATCCACTTCAAGACTTAAAGTGCCATCTTCAGCTCATCTCTCTCACAAAACATCTTTATCATCGTTGTATGCATATCTGCAGCTGGATCACTTACTTTGACGATTTTAAGAAAGACACAAAATGCCCCCTCGGTTTCTTATAGTACTCATTGATACGAATACGTGGGCACAAGCAGAACAAAATTTGGAGTCCAAAGGAAATTCATAGGGAAATTTAAAGACTTTAGATTCTAAGACCTACTTCAAACCTAAGACTCAAATTTTAGGATTTAAGCTTACTTCAACTTACTCTAACCCTTAGGCAAAATATGAGTTTTAACTTATAACTCATTTTCAGGTTAAATTCAACTCAACTAATGGGCTGGTTCATCATATATGTGCATTTTGTTTTATATTTATAAATTCATTGAATACAATGGCTCAGATCTAACATGATCAAATCTAATTGTCCAAATTTAAAGACAACGGCTAAAATAATTTTAAAAATTCATGTGTTTCATATTTTTTCATAGTGTTCAACGAGTTTTATGGTGTCGATTTAGTGTTTTTTTAATATTTATCGGAATCTAAATATTTTTAGGTTAAAATTAATTTTGATAGTTTACATAATTTATTTAAAAAAAACAGTTACTTTAAAAATTAACTTTAAATTCATTTTTTAATAATTTTGGGTTAAAAATTTAACTCAGAAGGTTAAAGCAAAAATATTTATGGATTAAAATTAAAATTTTTTAAGTTTTGATCCAATTGTTGGAGTTTGCGTAAGGGTATTAGTAATACCGTATTACATATTTCACAATTTTGGGAGATTATATTGGATTATTTTGGGTTCGCTGGGACCCGCAAGGATTTTTATCTTCTCTGCACCCTCGACTCGCCGTTCTCCGGAACTCTCTCACTCTCTCCCGCCGTTATCGACAGCACTGTGAAGAACGAGGCGAACCCTGGGCCGAGGGAGGACGACGACGAGCTCGAAGAAGGAGTGATCGTCGGTGACCAAGATTCCGTGTTGGCGAAGCCGCCAAAAGGAATAGCGCTGCAGTCGCATTCCTGGACCTTCTGGTTCGATTACCCGGCCGCCAAGTTCAAGCAGGAGGATTTTGTGACATTTTGAATAACCCTCTAAGTCCAAGTCCAAATGGGCACGGTTTCAATTTCCGCATTGTCGGGTCTAAATTCAATTTCCTTCCCCAGAGATTACAACCCGTTTGTAATTTTTAATAAAGCCGGCGTCTTGACAGCGTGTAGTACAAGGAGTGGAAGCTTTAGGTTCCATGGCGCTCAGAGGCACTCAAAGCTGAGGACTTTTTCGGTCGGTTCGTTGAGCCCGACTGCTTCGTTTCGGACCCAGGTGGGAACTTGGGAAGCACCCGACGATGGCAGCGGCAGCGAAGACGAGGAGGAAGAAGAAGAAGAAGAAGAAGAAGAATTGGGTTTCCAAAGTGAATGGGAGGAAGAAGAGGGAAAAGGTGTTCCAGCTGCTGCTACTGATGCTGCTGCTGCTGTTGATAAGTCCACAACAAACAAGTATGAAGAGGATCTTGTAAAAGGTTATGCTCCGGTGCCCCTAATTTTCTATGTTCATATTTATTTGTTCACTTCAATGGATGTTCTAAAAGTTTAGAACAAGCACTTTTGCTTCATAAGCGCTGTTATTAGAAACACATTTGGAAGTGCTTTGCACTTCTATGACCCTCGAAGCGCATCGTCAAGAGCACTTTTGGTTGTCATCAAGTGCTTTTAGGCCATCTAGAATCAATCCCATACGGCAAGCTGGCCCTTAATGGGGAATGTTCTATTTGTAGAGAGTGACATGGTGTGTTCCAATTGATATTTTGACAAAAATGGCATGCTCAACTGTCTCGCAAGAGAACATTTAACTTCTAACATGTTAGCTTGCAATATTTGCAAACCTGTTGCTTTATTAAAGATTACTCAACTCTTCTGGCTGTTATAATTTCCCGGCCATGTAGATCTTCAAAGACCAGTTTAGCGGTTTTCTTCTTCAATGTAATGTAATACCACTTTTTGGGATCTCATTTCCTGGTAAACATCTAATATCTGTTATTCGTGTTGCAGAAGTTGAACAGCTCTTGGGGCAAGAAGAAATAGCAATTTTGCAAAAGCATGCGGCTCCCAACATCAAGAAAATATCAACGGTAATTCGTTCTTCTTATGTAAAAATGTCCTGAAGTTAGTTTATAGAAGTCTGGTCCTGCTTTTACCTATCTCCTATAGTACAATTTACTACTAAAATCTAGATGGAGCAACTGAACTATTTCTTAGTCTCTATAGCATTACAAGCTCACAACTGTAAATAGGAAGTCGTATTTGCAATAAGAGGCTGGCCTGTCTTTCTACATTCATTTATTGTGTTTCGTACTTTCATTACTCAGGAAAAATGGAACCCGATACATACACTTGCACTGTCAGGGATGGTAACTTTCATGGACAAGCTACTTGAAGATGGTTTAGATATTGACGTTGTTGATAAGGTGAGTTTTATCTGTAATTGAATCACCATCTGTCTCCAATTTGGTAGCATTGTACCTGGATTAGTAAACCTCCAATAATTTGGTGAAACAGGATGGTACAACTGCTCTTCATACTGCAATCATAGCCAAAAAGGAAGCTGTAATTAGTCATCTGCTAAGAAAAGGTGCAAGTCCTCATGTCAGAGACAAGGTAAGGATAAGACTTTCTTTAATATCTCTCCCGATCCATTTTTCTTTAGGGGAACAATGAGTTTTTGTCTTTGTCTATAGGATGGCGCTACGCCACTTCATTACGCAGTACATGTAGGCACCAAGCGGATTGTCAAGTTATTGATCAAATATAAAGTTGATGTCAATATTGCAGATAATGTGAGTTTTGTTTTTTATTGTTTAAATTTCCCAATGCCTATACCCAGTTAATCCTTTTTATTTTCGTTTCTCAGCTTGTTAACAACGTCGTATAATTTATTTCAGGATGGATGGACTCCGTTGCATGTTGCTGTTCAAAGTAGAAACAGAGACATTGTGAAAATTTTGTTAGTCAATGGTGCAGATAAGAGCAGAAGAAATAAGGTAACGTTTACTTTATACAAAGCAGGGACCTATAGTAGAGACAAAGTAAGGATTTTTTACTTTCTGTTGTTTCTGTTAAAGTGATTAACGCTGCTCCGTGTGTTTCAGGATGGCAGAACTCCGCTAGATCTGGGTTTATGTTATGGGAAAGATTTCAAGACCTATGACCTCACCAAGCTACTGAAGACGGTGCCAATGGACAGAGAGTTTTAGAAGTCCATGTTCCGACTTCATCTCCTTGCATGGATGGAATATTTGAGGACAGAGACGAGGAGTATCTGAAGAAGCAAATTAGTTGGATGAAGGATAAACAGAGGCATGTATGTATTTCACTATAGGGTGTAGAGGTAATGGATGCATCCTGGATGAGCTGTTTTGCATCCCTTGATTTCAAGGTTGATCTGTTGTATGAGGGTACAGGAGCCGTTGGATAGATGACTTCCTGGATTTTGTTAGGGGAAAGGCTCTTAAATTTTTTTCTTAAGTTTGTTGGTAAATCAAAATATGAGTGTAAATGAGGAGGATGGATATGGAACGAGTTGATTTTCATTGTAATGTTTCGGTCTAGTAATGCTAGGCTATGAGTAAATATTTCTCCATACGGCAGTGTATTATTGGACCGAGACATCACTTAGAAATGAACTTGTTTTATGCAAGTTGTTTTTTGTAAATTAGCGAGTCAAGTTGAATGCTAGGGTGCTCATGCTTGCTTAGATATTATTATTCAAACTTAAAACTCACCAAAGCTAACCCGTCAAACTTCGATAATTTATAGGGCAAAACACTGTTTACTACTCTCATGTTTCGTGGTTTTCAATATTTAGTACATCAAGTTTTTTTCGTCCTAGAATTATACCTAAAGTGTTAATTTTGAGACAGTCTCATACATCCGTTAATCAAACTATTAAGTCTGCCGTTAACTGATGACATGACGTTTATGTGGATAATGACTGGGCGTCACGTGTCATTAAAAATATTAAAATAATAAAAATATTTATTAAAATTTAAAAAAAAAAAACAACGACAAGAAGGAAAAAAAAACCCTGAACCCCTGCAAATCAAAACAACAAAATATTCCGATCAAATCATCCCCAAACCCAATCTTTCAATTCAATCCCTCACTCTCAACTTCATCTCTTCTCACTTTCCCATCAGATCCACATTCTCCTCTGCATCCACAGGGACACTTTCATTCCTCCTCTTCTTTTTCTTGTCTTCCACAACCACCACCATTCGATTAAGCTCGGCCCAAGTCCCCAGACCCTTCCTCCCTTCTCTCCTCTGCACCCACCCTCCCCCTCTATCTCCCTCTTTGATTCCACCTACCCTCCCCTCCTTCTTCGAATAGAGCCCTTCTGCGTCTCCCTTTTTTCGATTTCTGGGTCTCTCCAACCGCAATTTGCCCTCGAAGGCCAGCATCCTTTTCGCCTTGCGTATTTGCGACTTCAAATTCAGGTTTAATTTTCTGTAACTCTCTCTATCTCTCTACCTACTCTCTCCTGTTTTCTGTGTTGTCTGTTTGAGTAGAATTGCGTGAATCAATGAATGTGTGTTGGTTTGTATTATTGTTAATTGTGTGTTTTTATGGATAGTTTTTGAGATATGTTGCAGCTGGGATTCTTGGGTTTATTTGGAATTTGGCAGCTATTGGAAATTGGGGGAAAATGTTACAGAATTTGTAAAAATTGGGAATTATTATTTTTCT